TGGTGTTAAGATCATGGCCTCCAGGTGAGCTATTGCTACTACTCAGTTGCCAGACTCTTGCAGTGCTTTCGAGCCCTCCTCTTTGTGTTCTGGGCAGAAGATAGTGAGTAAGCTCCTGGTAGCCTTAAAACACAGGCAAATCCCTGATCCTGTGGGAAGCAGACTGGTTTGTAGCCCGTAAAGAAAAAGGGAAATTTCTTCAGCCTGCTTGCAGTCCATTGTAGCATCCCTCCCCTGAGAAAGCTGGTGCAGAACTTCTGGTCCTTCACTTGGTGTTGTCATTGGGGCAAAGTGGGACAAGATGTGTTTGAAAGTTTCTTCCTGCTCTGCTGTGTGCTGCCTGTTGGCTGGTGGAGCAGCAGAGCAGAAATTCACTGTTGGCATCTGGTAAAACAGCAGGTGAGAGCAGTTGTGAGGGGGAGAGGGGGTGAGGTGTCTGCTCTTCAAGAGGGACAAGACAAAGGAGTTGGGGAATTGTCCTGGAACTCTGGCATGGAAGGCTTGGAGTGCTGGGTGGGCATTTCTTGAGAGCTGTGGTGGCCCCCGCCTGCTTGGGCTGGGATGCCACTTTATCCTGAGCCTCATTTCATGGAAGTGTGTCCAGAGGCAGCCTAGCTCCAGGCTTAAGCAAAAAGCCAGAGCGGGTGATGCGGGAGTGTGGTGGCAGAAAAAATGTTTTCCCCCTAGAGTTATAAAATGGTAACCCCCAGGGGGTGGTGACCCTTGGGGTTAAACCAATGAGCACTCCTGCAAAATATAAACATATCAACAACCAGACTGGAAAAGAAGGTAGTTGTAGTAGTTGTTGTTGGAGAGGTGGCCATGTTGTGAAGCCACGAACTGAGGGGCCCGGAGCCCCACTGGGGCTATGGCCTCCCCCCAGCCCTTGGGCCCTTGCTTGCAAGTCCCAAGCACTGCTACAGGGACTTGGAACAGTATAAGACTGGGCTAAGTACCTGTAGCTGAGAAGGTGGAAGTTTTTTTCTCCACCATGAGCAGCAGGAGCAGCGGCAAAACAGCGCTGACCAAGGAGAAGTGGCAGAGAGCCAAGAGATAAGAGAGAAGCAGCAGAGACAGCATGCAGCCAAGGAAAACACAGAGTTATCTGAAAAAGAAAGAGAACCGGCAGCAGAGAGAGAACAAAGCTCTACAGAGAGAATGAGAGTTTGGGTAAGAACTGAAATAAGTCCCCAAACCCCTCTGAGACCTCCTAGATAGGAGGAAGATGATGGACTCTTACTTAAGAAGAGTCTTAGAGTGCTACAGCACTGAAAAGAGAGGAGCTGAAAAGCTCAGGGCTTCCCAGAGCTGAACCGGGACAGCCAAAGGAATGCGGAAGAGGGCTTCGCCCCCCCTGCTGCTTTGAGACAGAGCATGGGAGCTCTGCAAAGGGGGCTTGAATCCCCTGAAGATAAGGACCGTCACGAAGGCTTCTGCACTTCGTTGATATGACGTGGTGAAGCGACCTTTGTCCCAGTGAACGCAGCCCACGGAAGAGAAGACCCTCGCTTGGAGTGGAAGGGCTGAGGGGCTTGGATACCCTCCTCGTGTGTACTGGCAGAGATCCAGCTACAGCTGCTGCATGGAAGAGAGAGAGATAGACTGCTACCCTGGAAAGACTACTGCTCTGAGAGTGGAAAGGATCTCTTCCTTCTTCCCTCCTGGACTTTTATTTGGAGAGAGAAGAGATTTGATCCATTGTAAATACTGTTTTATCATGGTAGAGGTAGTTGAGATTGTAT